TTCGTGCTCTTGCCCACACTTGATAATTTATCTTCTTCAAATGCACATGCATGAGACCTACAAAAAATTTGGCATAGGCCAAATATGGCCCAATTGGAGGGCTAAATGGCCAAATGTAGCTCTCTAAATTTGGCCAAAATTTTGTTTAGCCCATGGCTGGAGATGGGTTTTGCATTATTTTAGGGTTATATATGAGATATAGCCCATAGCTAGAGATGGCATCAGGTTGTATGTTTTGATATTACACTTAATCTTATATACTACATGGTTTCATTCATCGAGTTTCTAGTTAAATACTACAACTAACATTGAATTAAAAACACCCTTCATTTTGTAGAAAAACTTGTGTGAATTGGGGATAGCTATTTTACTATCTCAGCCATCCAATCACATACTTGCTCATAGAAAAATCATCAAACGTAACATGTCATGACTGGTCAGAGATAACAAAATAATATTACCGCGATTTCACACAAGTACATCGTTTTATACAGAGGATTCAATTTCAGAGCTATAGTAAGGTACATCTAAGTAATAATTTCCCATTCATTCTCAAGGCAAGATTCAAATTGGTGGAAACCACCAAAAACATAAAGAAAAACAAAAGATTAGTTGGGGGTTAAAGTTGGTTCATTATGTCACAACCTAGGGAAACCCCCAAAAACAAAATTAAGAACAAGGAATGTAGCTACAAATGTCAACAACAAACAGTGTATAATCAATCCAATATTTTCTCGTTCAGGACAAAGAAGAAGACAAAAACAGCAAAAAGTTTCCTCAGACTGCATTCAAAATACCATTCAAAACACTCCCACTTTCGGTTCTCATGCATTTATACCCCTTTCATCCAAACAACTCCATCTCTCTCTCTCTCTCTCTCTCAAACTCTGTTGTCCATAGCCATCTCCAATGGAAAACCGATTCAAGCTCAAGCTTTCTAACATGTTTCGCTCCTCATTTGGCTCCTGCCGATCCCGAAACTTATCGGATGTGATCGAAAAAGCAGTGTTCTTGCCTGAAAACCAGCAAGAGTTGTCCACCATTGAGCCTCCTAAGCAGGTGGCTCGACCCTTCCCCTCCATTTGCAGACCCAAATGCTCAGACCCCAATCAACCCATCATCAACAATCACTGTGTCATCTCTACCAAAGATGTCATGCTCCCAAGACGCAAAATTTTTGAACGTTGTTCACCTTTTGTTAAGCCCTTTAACCCCGATGGCCAAACATGCCCTCCAGCCTCACCTTTCGCAGCTTTGAACCCTTTCTACGACCTCCATGATAAGAGCTTCAGACAGAGAAAAAATAGAGATAAGAAAAAGAAGAAAAAGAACAAGAAGAAGAAGCCGAGCAGCGAGTTTTTCCCCTTCAGCTCTTCTTCTTTTGATAGTAATAACTACAAGGGGTGGTGGTCGAGCAGCGATGACGATGAGAGAGAGGACGAGACAGATACTCTGTTTTCTTCAAAAAGCCACTCTTCTGATTCATCTGGATCTCGATTACGACGTCGTCCTCGGCGAAACGGACACAGTGCTAGCCGGAGAAGAGCGAGCTCTGAAGTGGGTCTGCTTCCGATACAAGGAAAAGTGAAGGATAGCTTTGCGGTGGTGAAGAAGTCGAGCGATCCGTACAATGACTTCAGGACATCAATGGTGGAAATGATCGTTGAGAAGCAGATATTTTCAGCCAAGGATCTCGAGCAGCTTTTGCAGTGTTTTCTGTCACTGAATTCGTCTCTTCATCATAGAGTTATTCTTGAGGTTTTCACTGAGATTTGGGAAGCTCTGTTCTCTAACTGGGGATCTTGAAGAAAACCCTCTCTGTTCTCTCTGTTTCCTCTGTAATCTGTGTTTTTCTAAGGAAGAAATAGTTAGAATTCTAACTTCTAGTTACCTTTCTCTGTATTTGATTTTGTTTGTTTTTGTTTTTCGTTCTTAGAAACTGTGAATCTGTTTGTTTTAGAGTTGAATGGACTAAAAGTGGCCTTTAGATTCCTGTTTGTTTCTACTGCTTTTCTGGGTTAGTGCTTGTTTATTTTCTTGTTCTCTTTTATGATTTGACAGAAAAGACATTGCTGTTTGAAAATATGAAGCAGAAAGAAAGAAAGAAGAAAATAAGAAGAGGTAGCATTTCAATTGCTTTTGACATGAACATGGTGTGGCAGTTTCCATGATGCTTTTGAAAAAGATTGTTTCAGGGAAGTATATCAGGAGGAAAAAAAAGTCTTTGGATGTTTCCATTACTTTTTGAGTGTGGGATGAAACTTTTTCAACTTGGACACTAGGATGGGGAAAGCAAGTGTTAGATCACATAAAGTTGCTCTCATTTTTCTGTGTGGTTGGACTTTTTGAATTTTCATTCCAAGATTGCACCAAAAGAATACAAAAAGGTAAATCCAATTTTCAAAATCCCCTACAGGTAAGTTCTTGTGATTGAACATTATTGTTGTACCACATGCAGCCTACCTTCTCCCTACCTAAAAAGACTAGAGTTAATTTGAACATTTTTTTGGGGTTTTCTCCATTTTAAGTCTTCATCTTTGGGAGAGGTTATAGAATATTAAAATAGCGTGGTCACATGTTATAAGATGTACAAGATGGACGCCATGGTTTATTTTTTCATTTTAAGGAATAGTATCAATAAATATCATCTTATATTATAACATATGTACAAAATGTACTACGTTACCGTACTACAGTAGTATAATCACTCCATTTTTCTGAGTTTTCACTTTTAAGTCTTTTAAGAAAATAAACTTACAAGTTGGTTTTGTGCAATGGCTGGTCAAACAAATTGGAAAAAATTAAAAAACAATGGCATATGGTATATACTATAGTAATTGATAAGAAAATGTGATGAGTAATATGCTTTTGCCCCATATAAAGAAACAAGTAACCAACCACCTTCTTTTGCGATTTTGATTAATAATCCACTGTGAGCTTCAGATCCATACAATTGACTAGGATTATTGGCACAGTGGTGGTGGACAAGAAAATTATGCAAGCCAGACAAAGATATATCATTGGGCCATTGATTTTTGTTGTGTTGTCAACCACAACTGTTTACTCCATAGTTAATAGAATCAAATTTGATTCGATTTTGTATATCGTAAACAGAGGCAAGACCAACCAAGCACACCTACCACCCTAACATCAAATATACCTAGCTGTAGGTCTGCAGCATAGCCTCCTTCCAACATCTTTCAGCATTCAATTTCAGATTGAAACCTACCAACAGGCATTCATAGCCTCATGATCTGACCAAAAATGAAAACCAAACTTTACAGAAAAAATGTTGCCCAATTTGGCAATTTTGTGTATACAGAAACTGAAAAAGGAAAAGAAGGTTTTGTTTGTTTTGTTATGCAGATGAGGACACTTTCCATTCGAAACGGCCCTTGAAACTGAGATGTCAATGGCAGGAGCAGCAGTGGTAGCTTTTCCATGAAAACTGATGCGTCTGTTTCAAGGGAAGGGAAATGGGGCAAATGGGTTTTGCTTCAAACTAAAATTGAAATGAAAGAGATGACACAATGGAATGGGGAAACAGTGGATCTGATATTTTTGAAGATGGAGTGGGGGACCATTGGGGTAGAATGTACGTATATGGCTTTTATTTCCATGTCTGATACTTTGATAGCTATGTTACACACTGTGAGAGATTTGGCTTCTCTTGCTTCTATGAACTTGAAGCAGAGAAGCATTGGATTTTTTTATGACGGGCCAATAAAATTGGAGGGCTAAGCTGCAGCCTGCAGGCACATTGTAAGAATGTCTTACAGTGCCAATGATGTTACATTTGAGGGTTGCCTGCATTGGCCTATATTTGCATTAATGGTCGCATTTTTTTGGTTGCTGAGCCTCTTCATGCTCATACCTCCGCATCTCCATTGGGCTAACGATTTTTCATTAATTCTAGCATATTTTGGGTTCTTGTGCCCTCTCTCTCTCTTACTCACACATTCCCAGGTGAATTGGGCTTTTCTTGTTGTAGCCTGGCTCTGGGAGGAGAGCCGGGAGGAGATTAAACCACACAATTAAACCCCGCTGCAAAAGCCCACATGAGGTTGGGCACATGGGATAGCCCAGGGTTAGAAAAATATAGGTGCATTTAAGTGTTTCATTTTTGAATAAGATGGTTTCATGATAATGAGCTTGCTCCATTGCACTCAAATTTGAATCTCCTCTGTAAGTTAGATTAATTTGAAAGAGATTAGACTATCGCTTGTATAAAAAATAAAATAATTTCACAAATAAATAACAGTAATATGTAACTAAGACATATTATCAAAATCTAATTTAATACTTTATTTATGGTATTAAAAATTTGGGGTTTTGTTAGGACTTATGGTTTGTGGTGGAGAACGTTGGGTGTATGGTTTAAGTGGAACAAGTGTTAGGCATAGGCATGTCACATGTGATTAGGTTAGCCTTAAGCAGCAGCAGTGATCTTGAGCCCAGGGTAAGCTAGGAGGACTGAGTCACTGATGAGATGAAAGAGACTGGTTCCAACTCTAGGACGACTTGTGGCATGCTGTGAATGGCCAAACCATCTGCTAGACCTATGAGCTGTTCTTCAGTCATTTTCACTCATCAGCTGCTGCTGCATCACTTTCTTCTCACTCACTCTCTCAATTTGGCCACCCCAACAACCGTAAGGTCATCTACATTGGCCTTGTAATTTGCTGGTTTGTTTTAATTTTTCTCTTCTCTTTTGTATGACATTGGTTAAGCCTTTTGCTCATGTCTCATTTCAATTAAACAAATCTTAGACAACCATTTTAACCTTGGAGGAGAACCACAAACCAAAAGCATCCCATGTATTATTTCAGCTTTTGGAGCCTTTGGATGGATGGTAGAGACGGGCACTTTTCAAGTGAGTGGAAACCGAATCATTGGGCTTTCTCTTACCCAATAAAGGGTACGAAGAGTATATCAATTTGGAAACTTCCAATTGCAAGAACCAATTAAAGAACCAAAATTGGAAATTAAAGAAGCTAGAATGTCATTATCTAGATGGGATTGATTTCATTCTCAACACTTTTTAATTATCATAATAGTTTTTGTATACCATATAGGCATAATGTTGGTATATGGAACTAGAAAAAGGAAAGGTAATTAATGAGATTAGCTAATGTGGATATATGAAATATGTCAGTTGGTCATAACAGTGTGATTAATGTGATCCCCAATGTGATTAGCTAATACGAAAATGTGAATCAAGTCAATTCAGTTGGTCATAACAGTACGATTAATAAGATTAGCTAATACAGAAATATGAATCAAGTCAGTTGGCCATGACAGTATGCTGTGCTCACTCCTTTTACACGAGGAGAGACTCAGTCTAACAACCACCAGCTCCTTTCATTTTCCTAAAGAGCCTACACACCAACTCCACCTTCAAAAGTAAAAGCAACGAAACATTGTTATTATTATATATATGTAAAGAAGCAAGTCACCACCTTTAGCTTCAATATATCTTTCATTTCGTCATCATGATCCCAAAACGAAGAAAGAAACATATTTTCCAAAAAGAACAAGGAAGCAAGGGAGCGTGTGGAGACAAAGAAACATAAAGGGAAAAAAGCTAAAGAGAGGAGGAGCACTTATTCCCTTTTCTCCATCCAACGTTAAACAACCTTCCATGGCTCCTCCGCTTCTGCTATCTGTATAAAGAAACCTTCCTTCTGCACTCAGATCATCACCCACAACAACCCAAAACCACTGACAGAAGAATTTCAAACTATTCTCTCAGTCTCTCTCCTCAATTTTTTCACTGAGAAAAATAAAAAAACCCAACAACTCCCGCTTAATTAATCAGCACACCCACCAAAAGTGCCACCAATGCTGCTTAGAAATCCCATTTCCAACACCAAGAGGTTCTTCCAGAAAACCCTCGGGAACTTGAAGAATTTCTTCTCTGCAGGAAGCTACGAAAAGCTCCCAAAATCTCCTCCTGTCTACAACAACCCCTTTCAATATGCTACTGCTGTTGACCTCAACAATCTCCACACCACAAGTTACAAAGACTTGGACAAGCTGTACACTGACTTCACAGACCAATGGGATTCCGAAATTGAAAAGATGAGGAGATCAAACAAGAAGAAAGTTATCTCCACACCCACCAAATTACAAGACCACCATCAAGAAGTTCAGAGCCCAACAAGCTTCACCAAGCTCAATGCTTATCATGCAAGTCCTCCTCCTGCAAAGATCAATAAAAATTATGAGAAATATGATCTTAAAAACAGGACGGTGATCAAGAACAGAGACGAAAAGACGAAAACTGTTACGAGGGAATCGAGGGAGCTTCGAGAGGGTTGCTTGGTGGCACAGAAGATAAAGGAGATGGAGATGCTTGACATGAGCAATGTGGATCATGTTTTGGACATAGAAGAGGTTCTTCATTATTATTCTAGGCTCACTTGCCCTGCCTATTTAGAAATTGTGGACAAGTTTTTCATGGACGTGTATGCTGAGTTTTTTGGTCCAGCAGCACCAGCAGCAGCCACACCAGCACGCAGCATCAAGTCAAGGCTGAGGCCAAGGGCTCTGATGATGTCCTAATTAAAGGAACCAAAATTGTTAGCAGTAATTAAATTCTGAACCTCTCAGTTCTTGTATTTTACATTCTATTTGTTCTCAAGTCAGTTGTGTATTCTTGTTCTTCATAGATTTCTATCTGTGGTCGGTTGGCATTTTTGTTTCTGTGTGTGTGACAGCCTCTGTCTAAATAATTTCATTTTTTTTTAATTATTATTCATTAATGGATTTAACTTGGAATTGTGATCACCTCATCTCAATTTTATGACCAAGTGTTTTCACTGATGGTTTTACAGACCGCGACTAGCTTTAATTTCGCGTAACAATGTTATGTATATACATTATATCAACTAACACTTAATCTAATGGTAATTTTCTTCCCCTTTCGAATGTTCGGACCTAACATATGGTCTAAGTGAGAAATATAAGAAATGTGGGGCAAATTCTTTACTTCAATAACGGTTGCATGCTAATGGCTAATGAGGATACTAATTGGGTGACATTAGCAGCTTAAATGGATGCTTCTTATTGTTTCCTTCCTAACCTAGATGTTTGTATGGGGAGATTTGTATGTTTGTTCAGTTTTATTTTAGGTTTGAAGGGGAGATTATGAACCCTATATCAATCCGGTTGCAACAATTTATATTCAATTGAATGGAACCAATTATATTGGCAACTTCCATAATCCTGATTGTTTTTCCTTTTCTTCCTGAAAATCCATATGGGGTTTTTTTTTTTTTTTTTTTTGTTCCAGAGTTTCAATCACGGTGGTTGTTGACACTGTT